GAGTAATAGGGAGAGACAGGGCAACAAGAGCCACAACCAATCTCTGTTAGGATAGACAACCTTGTAGCTGCTCAGTAAGAAGTGAAAACTGGTTAGTCAGAGCCTGAATAGGCAGGACAAGGAGCTGTTGCTGAGCTGCTCATGTGTGGTATCTTTGGAATAGAGGGGCTACCCCCTATAGAGGGGCAGGCAGCTGATTTTGCTGGAGGTGTTTTTCAGTAGTAAGTGTGGGACTGTCATCTTAATTCCATGTCTATTGGACTGTCCCAGTCTGCGTCCAGCTCACTTTGGCCCATCTGTTCTCATCTGCACCTAGCTTATCCAGATTCACAGCATCACATCCCTGGAAGAGTCTGGTACGGTACAAAGGCAAACTCACATATGCCAGTACAGCTGAGCTGCTCATTCTTCTGTGCATTCACAGGGTCTTCAGCAGTTGCTTCACTGAAGAGCCCATGTTTAGTTCCCCTGAAGAACTATGAGACAGTGCTACAACAAATAAAGAAGGTGGGGATACTTTAGTCACGATATCAAGCCTAAAAGAAAGAATGGGGTTCTCATGCAAGGATCTGACTCCACTACCCCAACACAAACTCTTTGGTATGATCCCAGTGCCCTTCTCTAGTCTGGAAACAGGCTTGAGTTTCAGATGCAGCACAATCACTTGAGCAGTCTTGGGACTGCATCTTACAACACCGTTCACAGTCTCCTGGATATTGCTAATTTATGTGATACAGAGCAATGTTTGCCTCCTTACAGTATCACGGATTACCCTGAGAAGTGTCTTTAGCAACTGTCTGACAACTGACAGCTGCCTGCTGGGAGCAATGGGCTTCCATACTGCAGTGACCTCCTCTCTGAAGGTGACCTCCTGGGTGATATTTTAGCTCCTACATCAATTTTACAAGCAAGATCCCCAATAATTACCTAGGTGTTTGGGTTTTCTTCCTGAAAAATATGTGAAATGTTAAATACTTCAGAGGCTTTCAATCCCTGCTTTCTTGCTGAGAAGAGATGGATTTTTTCTGGAGTTTTTTTCTGAAATTGATGTGGAGTAGGAACATAGTTCTCAGTTTTGTTGTATCATATAACATTTGGCTAATACTTTGGGGCTATTTCTGGTAACTGCAACAGGAATTACAGTGTCAGGATAAGTCTATTATATGTTCTAATAAAATAACTAGTAGTCTGATGCTGTCAACATGAATAACAGAGATTTGCAGACTTTCACCTCATTTGTGATGCATATATTAAAGAATGACCTCAGTGCTTAACAGAGATTACATGGGGATTATGAAATGTAGAAACTATAGTTGCAAAAAGCAGTTTTATTCAACAACAGGTTACTGTCATTTTACTGCATACTTATGAAAAACTGGACTTTCTAGTTAAAACCAGACTCCATTAGCATGTAAATATTAGCCTATATAGAAATAGGGCATGTAAGTTAAAAAAAAGTGGAGAAACATTTATCAATTAATTTGAAATTCACATAATTTACAGAGTTTCATGAAGCTGTCTGCAGTCTCTTCAGAAATACCTAATTTATAGAGGCCCCTGCATTTGGCAAACTATCCAATGAATAAGATAAAACAATCAAGATAATGAATAGCTGATGTATGGACAGTGCAAATGTGCTATTCCATCCATGATGGAAAAAGAAACGTGTTATTTAAGGCAGAGATGTATCAACTGAATAAACAAAAGAACATAACATACTCATAGACACACATATGAATGAGGACATTTAAAGACTTATGTTCTGTTCTGTTGATGCTGCTCTGCAAAAATCTGCTGCAGTCTATTGATTAGTTCACCCTGCACCAACCCATAAGTTGTACATCTGCATAATTAAAATTGAATTATACAGGTGCATGTGAGTAATCCTGCCTCAAAACAGGGAACTGAAAAAAACAGTAGGGTCCTCTGATTTATTTTAAAATAAGACTTTTAGGGCAAACAAAACAAGATCCAAGCAATAAAACAAAACATAAAATAAGGTATTGGAATGGGAAAGGAATCAAGAAGATAAATCTTCAATAGAATATTGATTTTTATCCACAAAAAAAGAGATCACCCAGGGTAGAGAATATTTAACCAAGAAGACAGCAGAAAATAAATGCACTTCCACCAATCCCATAAAGAAAGTGCAGTCATCTAAGTAGAACTATGATAAGGACTAAAAATATCTTCCTGATAAAAGGTATCCTGAGAGAAGGACTGGAAAGATATTTCATAGTTTTGTGATAATTTACTTTGACATTGGGAGTGAAAATTTCATTGTTTTTAGGAATCTCCTTTTGTTTCACTTGAGTATGTTTATGGCTAAACAAGTTAAAATTTAGTCTACTTTGAAGATGAATCACCTCTAGATGCTTAGAGTGAGGAAAAAAAATTTTCATTTTGGTCTTCTTAAGTTTACTCTGCACACATTAGAGAGAGGGGTAACAAAGGGAGCGTCTTTTTCTTGATGATATATTTTTTTTAATCATGTTTGCTGACTTAGGTAGTGTTCACCTGAAGGAAGGAGTTAAACAATACACAAGCAGCTCAGGAGCTGTCTGTCAATCAGGGCTAATCTTGAGGCAGAAGCCATAAGAGGCTTCAGAAAGAGGGAAGTAGTGCTGGCATTTATTTTGCCTCTCTCTGTTTATCAATTGAGAATGACTGGGCCTGAGTCGTTAAGGAATATGAGTGGTTTATTGTGTGGATAATCAAAACCTGTGCAAGAAAAGACAAATATATTTCAGAAAGCCCAGATTGTGCATCTTCAACGTGAGCTCCCAAACTCTGTGGTTCCACAACACGACAGGGTGACAGTCTATTGTTGGCATTTGATGCATAGCTGAAAATAATTTTAAAAATGGCTGATAAGGGAGACAAGGCTCTTTTTGATACTATTTCCATGCCTAAGATGCTTATCCACCTAGGAAAGGTCTGGTTAGAGCAGAAACAACAGGAATCTGTTCTCAAAATAGAAACTGGCGATAGAATAACAAAATGATTTGATAGTGATGCTGAATTTCTACTCAATCATAAGCAAGGCTTTACATATATTCTCCATGCTATACAAGGCTGGTTGTTAATTTTTTCTTGGTTTTGCCTTGTCTTGTTGTGGTATTAAATAGCATCTCATTACACAACTTGAGTGTTCTAAGTCTGCCACAGTTATCATTTGCTGCCATACATTCTTATTAGGATAAGAAATTAGTACTTTAGCTTCAGTTTATATTACTGTTTTTGCCCATTTTACAGACTTATACATGATACCATGGACTCACGAGTCAGCCTTTACTGTAAGAGTAAAATGACTCAGTTTGGGCCTGGGAGCCAGAGAGCTAAATATAGTACATAGCATTAGAGCCTGGTACAGCTGGGGGAAAAAAATCCATTTGAGGACTTACAAAAGGTCAGTTTGGAACAGAGGTTCCTGAGGTGCAGAAACACTTGCTCTGACAACTAACTTCACTCTGTTACCATTTGAGAAGTAGCACAGCAGAGCTGCTGGAGACAGAGGAAAGTGTAGGAAGGTAAGACAGGGAGAGGAAGAAAAGGACACAGAAAAGGTCTCAGCTGGTTATTCCAAGCACTACTGAAGGATGTGGGCTATTAAATATCCGGTTCTGTGGGAAAGTGGTGTTAGGGCACTGCAAATATCTGGGGTACCAGCTCTGAGCTGTGTACCAGCTTTCCCAGCTCTGGAGAGCAGAGATCCCCCAACTGTCCCCATCTTTGTCTCTGTGGAGATAGTACCCACCCAGCAGCTTTTAGTTTTGGAGTGCCTTTGTAGAACTGATGTAATGCAGTCTCCTCCACATGATAAACATTGTCATAAGTACTGGGACTGGGGGCAGCCTGCCTCACTGTGTTCAGGAACAACAGTTTGGTGGTAGCCTGCCTTCGCAAAAAATGCTCCAACAGACCTGTTGGAGGAGTTCAGAATGCTGGGAGGGAGCATCCTGTAAAGGTGTGCTCTATATATAAAAAAAAAAAAAGGCACAGCATATCAAACCACTCCAGTTGCAAGACTGGGTCCCATGCTGAGACAATAAAATAGCATATGGCTCTAGCCCTGTGTTCCATTTTTGATCAGTTTGCAACCCCTTCCTTAATGTTCACTGATATTTGTAAATAAATTGTGAACATCTCAGCTCCATTATCTCAACTGAAACTGCTGAATAAAAATGCTTCTGAAAATATTTTCCAAAATTGGAACACTCTTTTGAACAGCAGAGTTAAATCATGAAATAGCTGTCATTTTGATGAAATAGCTGCTGTTTTCCTGCTATAGGCTATCTTTTCAGCCTAAAACAGGCAGCTGGCAAGAGCAAATCTTTCATGTGTGAAAGGGCAAATCCTCCCCTACACTCCATCTCTCTCAGTGACCGACTCCGGCTGCTAGTTGTGTAGCACCAGCAGAGCCAGGAAAAGGCTCAGTCTGCTTCAATTGAGTCCTGCTGAAGACTGTTAGGGAGTGATACAGCCCAGCTGCTGTGGCACAGGAAATTCATTTCACCCTGTCCTTTTAGGGTGGGTGAAGAAATGGGAGCAGGTATGGCAACCCACACTTCTCTTTTGTCTTGGTACTATGGTGCCTCTGTGAGAAAAGACTTCTATTTTGTTGGCCCCAACTCTAAAAACTGCAGCAAGACTTTTTGCAAGGCCCCATGACACAGCTCAGAGAGCAAACAGCAGACAAAAGAGTCCTTTGAATTACATGTGGAAGTGCTGTACTGCTTCCAAAGAGAAGATACTACATACATGAGCCATCTAGGCTATTGATAACAGCACCAATTCTATATTCTGAAAATAACAACAGGTCCCTTTAAGAGCTTTATTAAAACTTCCTTTCTAGGTAAGTAACTGTTTCTCCTGACCAAAGTTTCTGAAACATTAGCAGATGTACAATGAAAGACATTTTTACTTCCATTTGAACTGGAGCCATGGCATACACTTACTAGGAAACTATCGTCTTGTTGAATGTGTACAAACTCAGCATACTCTGTGCAAATTCTTTATTGAAACAATGATCAATGCACAAGCTACATCACATTTCATTTCGCCACTTCAGCATGAATTGGTCTCTTTGTGGTTTACGGCCATGAGCTATAAAATCATAACAGTTATTTAAATCAAAGTACAGTAACTGCTTCTCAAAAGAACACATTCATATTTGTCTTACATTTCTTTTAAAATCAGAAAGGATTTCATAATAAATGAAATTTAACTTAAGATACTTTAGTGCAAGCATTTCCTTTGCATCTAAGAAGCTTTCAGTTGTCCCACTAAGTACGGTATACTTGAGGCCAACTCTTAAAATAGCATGCTGCCAAGATATTCCATGAGAACTTTTAAAATTCGACACTGTTAACACTTTCTGGAATTAGTTCATCTGACCAAACTGAAAGTCAGAAAGCCCTGGTTATATGTTACAGTACTTTTGTCAAAAGGAAACTGCAAATCAAGGAAGTAACATAGTATGTACATTAGAATAAAACAGGCACTGATTTTTAAAAAAATCAACATCTGCCCACATATGCCATTTCACAAGTCTCATGATTATACAGTAGTTTTTAAGCACAGCAACAAACTGCTGTGCCTTATCAAATACCAATAAACCTGCATAAAAATGCTGATCTATGGGTTCTTTTAGATTTTTTTAAATGACAGACTCATAAAGTGACTGAAGGGTAGGTTTCATCACAAACATGCTCAAATCAGAGAATAAAAAAGGATACCAGTAAACAAATGCTGCTCAAAAAGAAAATGTTGAGCAAGTAGATAGTGAATATTATGCTTAAGTGATCAGATTAATATGGTCTTACATTTACTGAAAAAAGAATTGTAAGTATAAAATTCAAATTCAACACTGATTTCTTGTACTGCAGAAATCTAGTCATCTTTCATGAAATTTTGGCAAAAATATTTGAAAATGGTATAAATATATCATGCAAATCTCTTTTCCTTTCTAAGCCTGGCTTTGTGTTCTTTATGCTTTCAGAACACAATTTCAGTTGGACTGGGTTTTCCAGATTCTGAGTGTTTTAAGAACCTTTAGTGTTTGGTGATACAAGAAATAGAACAATGTAACAAAAGGTGTGCATAGCCAAATGATGGGAACAGATTAATGTCCCTGAAGTGCTTAAGGTGCATGAAAATACTTAAGAATCCAAATGTTAATGTTTTCTTAGAGCCTTCATTAATTTTATATTTGTCAATTGTGTTCTTGCACCATAAAATAGCCATTCACTAAGAAATACTGCAAGACACAATAGTTTACTTCATAATAGAGCACAGGCAGAGAGTTTGGAACAGGAAAGATGGGTTTGGATCTGGCTTCCCATCTGTCTCCCACAAAGGAAGTGCCTCAAAGCATATAAAAAGCTTTAGGCTTAGAGGTGTCACAGGATGGATCCATAAAGATATTGAGCAGCATACATGAAAACACAAAAAAAATACATAAACCAAAACCGTTGGTTACAATCTCTATTTTCTTCAGCTACAGCGCTGTTCGGCTTTTATTCCAATAATACCACAAAGTTAAATGTCCAAAGAATTTATAGCTGACTGGTTATACCCATGAACTCTCAGTTTGAAGTGAGTCCAGCTCCAGCAAATTCAGGGTTCCCTTTGACCCTGCAACTGCAGGAATCCAGCACTACACAAATTGTATGTACCTAATCCAAGTGCCTGTTGCTCATACGTGGTTTGCAATGTGCGTTTGTGGGTACTTCAAATACACGCCCCTTGTGGGAAAACTTTGGAAAAAAACATCATCGGTATCTTCAAGGAAGATACTGAAGAAAACCATGGTGATCGTTTGCTCTCAAATGTTTCTCAATAAATACATACTAAACAGGCTGAAGGACAGCCTGAGGGAAGCAGTCAGGGTCAGAACTGCCTGGTAACAAACACCAAGGGAATACATGATCTCTACTGTAAAAATTTCATAGTTAAAAAACAATTAAAATTAAAATACTTCAGTTTAATAAATATTTTCATAACTTTTTTTTTTTTTTTTAAGTATGCTTTAAGGAGAACATCCTTGCTTATCTGTGCAATCTTAGTTGGGCACCAGGTAGGAAACTTCAGAATGCCTGAGCATGTCTGTAAATGCTGGACAGGCAGAAAAATCAAGATGCCTCTTTTCAGGAGGTTAAAGTGAATTAAAAGAATTTAGTGCAAGTTCCTGCTTTTGTTTCTACCCTTGTCCTTTTTCATACGAGAAGCAAATTAAATAACTCGAAAAACTGATGTGAACACTAAACAGAAATGTACTTTGGACTCAGACAAGAAGTTAACAGTTTGCATCAACAGTATTTTCAATCACACTGGTCAGAAGTGAGGTTCTTTATGGTATTCTCTTAATCTACTTTATGTTCTAGATTTATATTGCTTTGCTGGAACTAAAATATTTCCAGCCACATTCCTAAAGGGACTTTGCCCTTGCATGTTTCCTTTAGGGCATGTGCAAATTATTTTGTATAGAAACCTGCCACTGTGGTGAGCACAAACATGAGGCAACTGAATGATGCAATTTTTCAGAAGTTGGTTGTAAAATCTGAAGTCCATTATTAAACATGTCATTTTTTTTTTAGTAACCATAGATAGGTAAATATGGAGCCTTCTCTGCATCACCTACATAAGTCATGGAGTGTTACTATATTACACTGCTAGTGAGGCTCTGCACTTTAACATGAGGAAGCTGACATAAACCCTCAGTTAATTATCAAGGGTTCTTTTAGATAGCTGCAACATCGACTTTGTCTGGTCCTGATTACCAGTTAATATAACTGATTGCCTCCAACAGGCACCTTATGTAGATGTGGCTACTTCACTAAAATGTCCAGAGAGCTATCCATACATCGTCTCCCCAGAGACCTAAGAGACTTCTTTTTCTGCGCTATGCTTGATTCTGGATTTATTTTAAGTATCTATACTTACACTAAAACTCTTTTTAAAAACTATAGGGTGATAGTTTGTTCATTAGTTCCAAACAAAATGTGTCAGGTAATTAAGTAATATTAACCCTACACGAACTCCTCCTGGTAAGAGCTTGCTTTCCAGACTCACTGCAGAGGAGGTCCTTTTTATTGTCTGTCTGCAACAGAAATTATCACTTCCACTCCTGGCACTTCCTGGCATAAATGTTGATCCTTTTTAACACCACGATTGCTGTGATCATTAAAGCTTTACTGGGGTAGAGTCACATGTACTCAAGCAGTGAACATTCTACATAGGTAGGAGGTTCTTAAAATACCAAAGCAATTGTATCACACTAAACAGTTTGCATGACTGTCATTGTAATTTCTCAGGACACTTGATTATATTTTTTTTTCCAGTTTGGATACAACACTCTCAAACTGATGCTTATATGCGAACTTAGGCTTGATCTTCAGAATCTGAATTTGCACAAAATTAAGAATCCCAGTAAAAGGGTATTTTGCCATTTGAGCCTTGTCATCAACTGATTACTGCCATTTGCAGGACTGTTAAGGAATCTGCATATCTTCTGGTAAAGTAGTACATACTTATTCCTTCCAAATTACTTCAAAACAAGACATCTTGCATATTTGCAGCTGTTTGGCATATAAAATTCTGGCAAGGTAAAAAATATATGCAAAAAAACCTTGCAGAGATGTTGGACTGCAACTTTCTGTAAGATGTTTATGGGCTTTCCCATCTGTAAAATACACCTCAAAGTTGTTCCTCCATGCAAAACAAACAATTGTTGGCATCTTTGTTCCATGGAAAAGAGAAAACTATTTTCCATGTGCCTAGGCAGTGTGGTCACAAATGAAATGGAAACATTTTAACTTTCTTTAATAGCCCTCTAAATCACAATGTAGCTGAGCAAACAGGCTTTGTAAATGGGATCTATTACGATTTTATTTGGCTATTGGAGTGCTGCCTCTTGGGCAATATTTCAAATTCACAAGTTAATATCTGCAAAAATGCAATAGAGGGAAATAACAAGAGTGAAGGAGGAAGATGCAAACCAGTTTTATATTTAGTAAGTTCAAGTGTCCTTCATCAAAGACTATCAGTGACTTCCAGGAGGCCACTACAGGTGACTCCAACCTAGAAAATGCTGAGGTAAATGTTTCTTGGAAATACTCCTAATCAAAGAGAGCAATTAATATTAATGTAATAGCAATTACTCTGCCATACATCATGGTAAACGAAACTCAAACTGAGAAGAAAGTGCCAAATAATCCACTTACATGCTTTTGCTATGATAGTCTCCAGGTAAGGCTTAGCGGCAAGTACAATATGTATTTTTAAAAGAGCTCCACCTGATTTTCCTGCTATGCATAGATTCAGGAGTAACTATCATACATGGCTTTCATATATAACACATGTATTTGTGTCATTTGCCAATGCTGTGTCATCAGAACTGAGTTCAGCAGAAGTCTCAGGAGGCGGCTCTGCAGGAAGTGCTGGTGTTTGAAGAGTGTCTTCTTCCTTGGTGTCCAACTGCATGCTTTCCTGTGACTGACCATCCATGCAGTCCTTTTTGGACAACGGGTGAACTGACACTTTTATTGCAATCTGTTGAGGTGGCTCATGCAGTGACGATGCGTCTGAGTCAGCTGTGGGAGAGTCACTGCGTGTCAAAGCATTTGGGATCATATATAGCTCATCTGTTTCAGTGGTTTCCTGGCCTTCTGCTGCCTGACGTACAAAATTCTGTCCTTGCTCCTCCAGACCAACAACCTCCATAATTTCTTCCATTATAGTCCTGCAGTTCATGATGAGAGGTGGCAAAGGTACGCTCCGAGCAAGCTCTTCAATATAGCGAGCAAATTCCATGGTCTTGAACTGGGTTACTTTGGCAAGCTCGAGTGTTTTGGCTGATGTGATAATTGGGATACGCTTCGCAATCTCAAAGGCTTTCTGAAGTTTCTCTGCCCCTTCTGTTCTAAAGAATTCATTGATTGCTTTCTCAGTTTTTTTCAGATGACTGCTCATCATACATAAGCGAGTAATGTTCAGTATCATAACAATGGTAAAAGCTACAAGGCAGACAATCATGTAATAGATTCCCATATCTCCAGAGGTAAAAACAACCCTCAGTGTCACAGTATTGTTAACGCTGCCATATGTATTAGATGCGACACATGTGTATTTACCTCTGTCTTCAAAAGACACCCTGGTAATGTTTAGTAGCCCGTTGTCAAGAAACCACCATTTTCCTGTCAGAGAGGAGACAGAGTAACTTAGTTAGAGGTATTTTGTTCACATGATCAGCATAGTCTTAAACATCAGCTTTGTCAAACTGGCTTCAGATTTTGGAAGAAGGAAATAACATTCACAAGAAGACAAAGAATTTACCATCACAAAGACCTGTCTGTCCCTGAGACCCTAACTGCGTTGCTATCAAATCCCTGACAGCAACTGTGAATAGTCAGAGCACACCCTAAAAGGGATTCATAAAAAATGTTAATATGCATGACAACTATCTCAATCTTATGGTCAGTTACAAAGATAGGACTGTTTACCCCAGAGAGCCTCCCAAACACAGGTCACACTTCTTCAAAGAACAGCAACAATGGGATTGTGAGGCAGAAAAACCTAGTAAGTCCTCCTTGTTTTGTTCCCTGGCAATGTATTTGCTTACAATTGGGCTATTTTTGGTGTTTTCTTACAGTATCTCATATAATTCTGCTAATGTAAACTTTGAAAACCCTAAAATTTCAGACATCATATACTAGACTGCTTGCTCTCTGAGGAGTTGAGAATCTGATTTTGAGGTATGATTTTAAAGAAAGGGAAATAGGATAGGGGGAGTAAGATAGATGGGAAAGAGAAGAGCCATGATAGGGAACATCTTGTTTGTCAGTATGAACTTCTATGCACCAGAATGGAATTTCTTTTACTTTTACGAGTCATTTCCGTCAGTGTCATATCGATAACTTTGTCCACTGCATGTACACGTACATTTCATATACACATACATTTCCACTTCATATTCTTTGAATATGAACAGTTTAGCTATGAAACTGAGCTTGAAACATTAAAATCCATTGCTCTTATCACTGCTAAAGTTATTCAAGATTCAGCTAGTTACTGTATTTGCCATTATATATTGGTAATGAATTAAGATTTTTAGTTTTAGTGAACTTCATTTTTATACAACTATCACTACACTATTTAAGAGCTGAGGAGATATATTTTGGCTTTATTTGATGTGATACGACTTCTTAAATTGTAACATTGCTATAAATAACATGATTCACTCCAACAGGAAAGCCTGGTGCCGATGCTTTCCTTCATGTAAACCCAACCTTGACACAGGCTGATGGAAGCCAACTCAACTGTTTTCAATCTCTGTAACACAATCCAAAGACGTTCCTGACAGATATCTGCTGAAGGTAGAAATGGAATTTCAATAACCTTCCACAGGAAGGAACATCATATGTTCACCTGTCTTTACCATCAGGAAGTTCTTTTTCCTTAAAGCTAACCTAACCAGCTGCCTATTTATTCAGGCAGCTGAACAAAGACACAGAACATGTGATCAGAGGACTAAACTAGCGCAAAATCCCTGTGCAATGCCTGTAAATCACAAGGCAAGGATTGCAATCCTGCCACAGGTTGGTGTATACCTTGCTTCTACATTTATTTTATCCTCATCATAGACATTCTTTCATTGTTAAAAAGATTGTTCTATTTTTTTTTAAATTTTATTTCTTTCAAGGAAGAAACTGTGGGCAATTCTGAAACTCATTAGTCAAAAAAAGCCTTTAATTCAGAGTAGTTGTGAGCTTTTACCATGTTCAAAGTTCTTCTCATTAAACATGGCTTATCCAAATAGGGGTTTTTTACATTATCTCCAGTAGAAACCCATGTAGAAAGTACTCCCACAATGCCCCTGCCTCGGTTCATGTGTACAGACAGCTCTTAATTACATCTTTTTATCCTCTTAGAAGCTTTAACTTAACTGAAGCATTTTTTTTTACCCTAGCATAATTCTTGAAAACAGTTGAATCACTTTTTCTGAAATTAAAAATACAGAATAAATAAAAAGCTTTCTAAATTAGACTTCCACACACAAAAAACCCCACCCCAATCTGCTAAAGTAAGGCAAATTCAGAGGAAAAGTCCCTTACAGAGGAAATGTCAGCACCTGTAACAGATGACACTTTTTCTTCACCTCTAGAATAATAAAAAATACAGAGTATTCCTGATCGGTATTTCTTTGAATTGCAATGTTGGTCCTTCTTGCAAAGTAGGTTTTTATTAATTGTGAGACGACAAGATGCCTTGCTGATGTACCCTGGCTCCAGCTGTTATAAATGACATAATGGCATTGAACTGTGACTCAATGACTGGGTCTGTGCCAGTGGATCCTGGCAGACAGTATAAGACAAATAAGAAAACAATGATTAGAAAAGGTATCATTGCTGGGTTTTGATAACAACTCAATGCCACACTTAACATTGTAAGAAAGGTCTCATGCTAGGAAACATTTCTTACAGAAAAATTACAGTTTCTTAAAGGAGGTAGTGCACTGTTGAAATTCTAACTTATAAAGTGATGTTGTCTTAATACTACATCTGCAATTTTATTGATTTGGTCAAAGTTTTTGCTCATCTACCTAAATGGTTGTTTTAGCAGCTGCCTCTCTCAGTTGACTCCACAAAGACCTAAATTTAAATGCTGCACTAAAGGGGAAATTTTCTTTTAGCAAGCCTTAGTAAAACACACCAGCACACTTATCACCGTATGTTGCCACAACCACAAAATATTTGCAAGTCTGCTTACTAGCTCAAGTATTTCCTTTCACTAGCTGTACTCAGAAAATTATAACATGCCATAATGTAATATATAACCAGTTGTGCATTAAGCTTTTACAGGTACACTATGCTGTTGCACATTCAGCTGGGTCAGTCGTTACTCCCATCATAACAGAGTTCTCTGTCAGGTCAGCTATTAGTTAGGCACGCTATCTTCCATTTAGTGTGAATAGGTAAGTGTTTATTTCATCATGCTGTGAACGAAGCAGTCAGTATGGAAGGATTACATGAGAAAAACACCTTTCATATAGCCACACTGCCCTCAAACACTCCCTAGAAGTATAACTAGGATTATCACCCAAACCTTCCATTTTAAGGAAAGTAAGCAAATGTGTAATTAAGGTCTCTAGCAAGTGCCAGTGAAGAGTTTTAACTAAAGACAGGAAGGCTCAGGCTTGGTGTGTCCTTCTGACTGCTGCCCTATATAGGTTTTTCACTTGGTCGTTCAGGGCATCTCCTGTTTCTCACACTCCCATGGCACTCTGCATAAAGACAGCAGGCATCTCAGGGAGTTAGCTATGTTGAGTGCATGCCAACAAACTATTCTCATATGTCATGAAAATCCTCCTTTGAGCTGGAAACTAGCTTTTTAATCTTTTTTTTGGTGCCAGAGAAGAACAAAAGATGACAGAATGAGAAATAGGAACAAATTCGAAATCTTCCAGTGAAAAGAAGCCTATCTACACCTTCTGTTAAGTGCTTCAGCTTTTTGTTATGTGTTGCTATAAATAACATTAAAAAGTTACTCTTTTCTTCTAAGGTGCACATAAAAAATTTATAACTGCTACCAGGCTTTCATGTATTTTCACATGGGGAAATACCACAGTCAGGCCATTAAATTTGGGTTATTTGTCAACTTGCTGAAATCAGAAGTGTCTCTGGACAGTCTACATCAGTGATATTACTAAGATCTTACCTTTATTCTCCTCCTCTTGGAGCAGGCGACCATTGGAATTGTACCACCTGTAACGTGGACTAGGACTACCTTGGACATTGCAGTCGATCAAGGCACTACTGCCCTCCTTGACTATAATATGGTCGATGCGGGAGATCACCACAGGCACAGATCCTGTATTTATGTCAGTGCGGTTGAAAGTGCTGTTAGTCACATCCTCAGCAGTTGTCAAAGCTGCTAATAAGATGACAAGGCGTGTGGTAGGCAGAAAGTACAAAAAGTGGTGGCTGTTCAGTATGTCCATTTTCCTTCAGTGGTGTACACGACTGCTGGGAACTGGGACCGGTTCTGTTGAATGCAGGTCCTTGGGGTGAGCAGGTTGCAGCAGAGTTCTATTTTGATCTGTGCGATTTTATGTTTAAAATATCCTATAAAATAAATAAATAAGTACAATGAGATGGCATATCTAAACAATCCATTAGATGTGCTCTTTTAAAATAGTGACATGTCCATTAATGCATTTCACTATCATCAGCTCAGTGTCTTGTCTAAATGCTAATGTTATCACAGTCCTTATTCTTACTGGAAAAAGATGCATATATTTTCCTGACAGTAGTGTTGTTTGGAGTGGCAGGTGTGGGAGAAGGCTTTTATCACCTAGACACTTAGCAGCAATTTAGCTACAGTAGCAGCTACAGTTTTATGCCAAAAGTTCAACAGATTTTTCTTCCTTTTTTTTTCCTTTTTTTTTTTTCTTTTTAACATTTGCAAAATCAATGGGAGAAACAAAGGTACAGTACATTAAAGCTGTCACTACCAGCTCAGTGCTGCAACTCTGTCACGGGCATGGTCTTAGACGAATTGTGAAACAGTGTAAGAAAGAACTACTCCATGAAAGGTTTTTGAAACTAATCTTGAAATACTTGATACACACAGTTTTGCCCAAACACAATAGCACATACAGCAAAACATCTGAGATCATTCACTATTTTAAGCTACAGCTAAGTTAAAACATAACATGGAAAAATATTCTTAAAAGAGGATATTTCATACTTTATAAAGTAATTTCAGTGTTATTTTTAGAGCAAATTTAGAAAGAAGAATACTTGCTAGTGACATAATTATAGGTAAGGTTCCTTTGAGATACAAATGAAGTTAGGACTTTTCGGTTCCTTATGCGGCATTAAGCATTTTGCCTGTAGGACTTTCCGCACACTCTCACTACAGTATTTTCCCTCAACTAATCACTGACAATGAGCCCTTTCTAAACAGTGATTTCAGTTTCTGGACAGAGGTGGGATGGGGAGGGGGGGGAGGGTTACAAATGTGCTCTCTATTGGCCTCATTATGCTCCTAGTGAACACAATTGGCATTCAGTGCTGACTGAGGACAGAATGTTGGCCTCAAAATGAGCACCTTGGAAAATTTCACTTGAGAGTCTAAAGGCCATAAATGATGTTAAAATCATGTCATAGTATCCAACTATATTGGTTTTATTCACATATTTCTAAGGTAAATAAGTGAAACAGTGAAACTTATTAATTAGAGGAATCTATTTGGAATCCAAATATAGGAAACTATCTAACGAACTTTCCCTAAATGCACATTTCCATTCTGAAACTGTTTAAATTTTTTTAAAGATATGGTTGACATCATGGTCACTCATCTACCTTAGCATGGCAAATGACTGCTGACAAGGCTAGGTCAGTTCCATATGTAAAGGAAAGGAAACACTAAAATAAAAAGAAACAAACAAGGAAACAATCCTCTTCCCTATTTTATTCTTTATTCAAAAAGAAAAGAAAGCAACATTACTGTCTTTCATGGTAATATTTGACTTAGGTTGTTTTCTTATCCATCCCCTGTTCTCTGTAAAGCAATGAACTTTCTTTCACACAAATAGATACGGCTGTTATTTAAAGAGCAAAACAGTTTTTCCATTTTGCAGGATGAATCATTACTAGAAATGATAAACTACGTTTTTTTAGATAAGCTACATGCATGGTGTAGATGGCTGTCCCAGCTCTAATCCTGCCCTTGTTTTATTCTGTTTTTCTATTTATTGAATGTGGAAGTATTTGTCTTGAAGAGACAGAATAATTTTAAAATTAATATGCAAATCTCATGTTTCATATAAAGCCATACAAACAATGACTTCAGAAATCCATTTCCAATTATGCAAAGCATGCAGAGCCTGTGCTTTTGAAGATCTGTATAGGTACAGTCTGTCTGAGTCAGCAATCTGGAAAAAACCCTTCAATTCTGCCTATTCACTTCAGTAACTCTCTACATCTCATTTCTACTACTCCATTAACCTCGGAGACTGCCATTTGTCATGGTTACACATATTAACTCTATAAAATGTTTCTGTACAGTGTTATAGATCTGCATTGCGCCATACAGAAAAGCCAAAATCACACTTCCTGGCAAGGGAACAGGAACAGAGACTGGCTGGATTAATACAATGGAAAGGGCAAAAGAACAACATAAACTGATTAAGCTTCGTGTTGCTAATTACTGGCTGTGGCTTGTTATTGCTGTATTTGAGCCTATCATATTTTTTGATGGCAGAAACATCAGCAGCAATCAAAAAATGATGTTTAACGTTTCATTTTCAGAAGGAAATGAAATAGCATCTCTCCAACGGGCGAACAGAAAACCTGTAAGGAAGGCTCCACAGTGTACTGGGAAGTTCAAGGCAGCTGATAGCCCACTGATACCCTACAGCACAGGGATGCTGCGGGTGGATGTTTACAAAGTGTGTGATGGCAGTAAGACGTGCCTATTCTGCATGTTTACCTGTGTTTAACACAGAGCATAAGAAAGAAAAAACTGTACCTTTGTGTGCTAATAACAAATGTGACTGGCCCTTAATATGGTTGAAGGGTTGATTACTTGTCTGAACCTAACAGTGACTCCCCCATTCTGGCACAGAATCATAAATAGCTGCAGTAATTTTAAGAAATAGAGCTGAATAATTTATGTCTACCATGTGAGATTCTTACCTACTCCTGTTACTCCTGGGAATGTACTTTCTCATGCATGTTCCTGGAATGAAGAATATTAAGAAAACACTAAATACCTCTGTAGATACATTTCTGTGTGAAATAGATACAGTTTGATGGAAGAGGAATAACCAGGCAACAGGTTTAAAGCAGAATGTTTGGAAATGGAGGCTGCTGCTTTCATGTACCATCCAAGGACGTGCTTTTGATGGATGCTTTGAGAAGACCAGGAGAGGTGTCTCTGAAGAACGGTGCTTTTAAGATGCAAGTTTAGACAAATGTTCCCAGGGCAACTAGGAAGTTGGTAGGCAATCTTTTCTTTGGTGTGCATCCTCTCCACTGTTACCGAGGAACAAAAAAAAAGGAAGAGACCAAAGAAGGTTTTCTCAGCATCATCTGACACAAGAAAATTACATGGTGGCCATGCAGGGACCTGCATGTCCAGGACCCTCTGCTAACCTGTTGGGCATGACCAAAAATGCTGGAGTCAGGTTAGGGAAGCAGGAAGAAACAGAGAAAGACAGAGAACTGAAAGGGTAGAAAATGTGCTTACACCAGTCTGGTGCAAAGGAAGATTTGCTGAGAGTTCCCATCCTCCTACCTTGCCATAGGCACAATAGCAGCCTGAGGATATCAGGGAACACAAATCTGGGAGCCAGCTGCTTTGTTAAACATAAATGATGTAAGGAGTTATAATTTAATCATGCAACTAAATGAGGAGAAGACTGAGACCAAAATAGGACTGCTAGCGATGTCTGCCCACGTTCTGGCAAAACAGTGAGAGAATACAGAATATTGGAGAAGTGAATACAGTGCTGTCACCCAGGATCTTGGCCATGAGAGGCAGCAATTAGTTGTGACCCATGGTAAACCTGACGAAGGCAGCCAAAATTGTAACCGTTTCCTCTGACCTGAAGTCAGAGAAAGCTGGATTGATTAGTGTAAAACAAAGATTCCTGTAATAACTCCTCTAGACTGAAAGCGAATGAAGGAGGACATCTGCCATACTGAAAATCACTCTGTAGGAACAGATTGAGTCTCTGGGAGCATTTTTGCCACAAAAGGGTCACTATAAACAAAAAGGTACTTTCTGGTTATGGAAAGAATGTAAGCATTGGAACGGCCTACCCAGAGAGGTGGTGGATTCACCATCCCTGGAGGTTTTTAAAAAGAGATTGGATGTGGCCCTTAGTGCCATGATATAGTAATTGGAGTTGGATCAGGGGTTGGACTTGATGATCTTGGAGGTCTTTTCCAACCCAATCTATTCTATGATTCTATGATTCCTTTCACCCATCTCCAAAGCACATGAGCTACCTGTAAAAGACTTCAAAAGTAAAAGACTATATAATATACTTAATGTAGTTATGTATGCTTTTTTCCTTTTATTTTTTTTTTATTTTAAATTCGTAGAGCATGAAATGGAAAAAGAATACCTCTGGCTATTCTGACTACCTTTTCCACCCAAAGTTGTAGTCAGGGACAGGCTTACCTACCAAGATGGAATCAGAGGAATCCCCAAACCCTCCTCCACCACCTGGAACATACATATAGGTAATTTTCCAGCTATATTGTATCTGGAGCAACATTTACCATGAAAAGATGTTTGCCAGTGGTCTGTACATTAAATAGCTTTGGTTTTTATTTCCCCAACCCAAATGATATAAATTGAAAATACGAAATTAACAGATTTACTGCTGTTGGGATTAACTTCCTAGGAAAGTTGCATGAGACTTGAGCCACATGAGAGCACATGACAAGCTTTTCTTCTAACTAACATGATAGGCAGCTCTAGCATGCTTTCTATGCATTTCTATCCAAAAAGTCCCCTGGAATGTGCTCCAGAAGAAGCAGAGCTGCAGCATGGTGGCATTACTCCTAACTATGTGAAACAGGCACAAAAACTAAGATTACAACTTCTTTGTCCAAAATCAAGTATCAGTCTAAACAAAAGACATGGCTAGGACTGCCTAGGAACATGTTTTGACTGACCATTTATTTATTCATGTCATAGCTGTGTTTGCCTCCCACATTACTGCCACTAAAGCAAATGACTTTGGATGAGGGGCCACATTGTAAATACTGCATTTGTGCAGAACAACACGATGACAGAGCACAAAAGAACAGAAAAGGAGGCCAACGATGCATACCTTTTCCTGGCTCGCTCACTTCTGTAAGACTGGCTTGTTCTTGGAATAATGTGTAATCCTATTAACTGTGAGGTTATTCAATTCAGAAGTGAAGCACAAGAAGCCAGCCTATTGTATAATGCATAAATTGTGTTCCTATAGCTTTAACATCCCAATGCTATCTTGCTTGGCTTGTAAGTGACCAAGAAAATTAAATTGTTTTCATTCTAGTTCTCATTTGTCTAAAATAAATATCAAGGTTGATGATACAAAACAAAATTAAGGCTAATTTTTAATTATTTAAAAACTACTTACCACCTTTCCTAGTTTACAGGGGCAACGTTTTTACAGAGAGGGCAAAAGTAAAAGTTAACGGGATTTACTGGAACAGGAATGCAAATGAAAGAACATATGCCACACAGAAGGTGAGAAGCTCACTGCCAGTTCACAGGCTTAAGAGTGAGAACTACTTACTGAAAAGCTTAAGTTATTAGGGTCCAGACAGGCAGATGAAGAGAAATGTCACTCATTTACAATTAGCATAAACTAACATTTTTCTACTCATTTGCTAGTTGATAAAATAGTAACGCTTGGTTCTGAAAGAGCTGCTCTGTTCATTCTCTTTGGGGGGGGGGGTGGTCTCGGTCCTTCATAACTTTGTGACTTTCTGCTCCCCGGCTATGTTGAGTAGGCAGCACTCTGGTGATGTTTGTAAGATAAAGAGCTTCCTTCTGCATGTCTAGACTGGGGCTTCCCGACTGGGGCTTCCCAGCTGGGCAGCAGCTTCCAGCTATACACGTTTAGTCTCTTCAGCTGCTTTCAGCTGCCTGGGAATCTTTAATAAACTTTTCATCAGGGCTGAGCCCTGGTCATGTGTGCTCAGCCACCTGCTGTCAAACTTGCTGCCTTCAGCCACCTGATGGGAGGGTATAGAGAAGACAGACATGGGCTCCTCTCAGAGATGTGCTGTGAAATGACATGAGAAAAGGGACACAAGCTGCAACAACGGAAATTATGATTATTTAAGCAGAAGGTCAGTCAAACCCTACAATAGGTTATCCAGATGGGCTATGGAATCTTCATCCTTTGAGATGTTCAAAACTTGACTGAGCTGGCGTACGCTGGCTCTGCTTTGAGCAGGATGTTGGATCAGATGACCTCCAGAGGCCACCTCCCCAGTCCAAACTAAAGAAACTCTAATACTCCAGAAACATAAATCCAAGTATTGCCTTGGAGAAGTCAATGTTAAAAAATATGGCTGATCTTAAAAATTGCTATATGAGATGCTAGGAAATTGCCTTCATGATCCTCTACATAATTTTTGAATAGCAACATTTTAGAATAACAAGACAGACTGAGGGTGTTGACTACAGCCTGAAAAAAAAAAGTGCTTAAGTAAATAGAATGGTAAGTCCTTTTTACCATATAGAGAAAACTTATTTCCAACCAAAGTAACTAATGAAATATCACTCATTTGGGGTGTCTGCAATAGTGAATGTTGGGGTTTTTTTTCCCCACATGTAGATAGTCAGACTCTAAAGTTCACGGTTATTATCTGCTGATATATCTGGTTTCTTGATACTAGAGAGTTGTCAGTTGTGGTGAATCTAATATTGAAATAGAATAAGGCAGAAATAAGTCAGACTCAAAGAGACTAAGATGACTTTTTCAGACTACTGATTTCAGATGGAAGATAAGTAAGAAGAAATGTTGTCAAAAATATGCACAATGTTGAATGGTGTAAAGAAGACAGCTGAGACATGCATATTTACTGCTTCATATAATACTAAAATGAGGCAAATTTCAGTGAAACTGAAGTGCAAGATGGGACAGTGGGAGGAAAGAAAATAAGGGTTTTTTGTAACAATGATCACACTGCAATTTCACAGAATCACAGAATGGTTTGGGTTGGAAGGGACCTTAAAGATTCTCTGGTTCCAATCCATCTCTATGGGCAAGGGCACCTTCCACTAGACCAGGTGAGTCAAAGCCACATCCAACCTGTCTTGGAACACTTACAGGGATGAGGCAGCCACAACTTCACTGGGCAACCTGTTCCAGTGCTTCTCCACACTCACAGTAGAGAATTGCTTCCTAATATCTAATCTAATCCTACCTTCTGCCAGTTTAAAGCCATTCCCCCTTGTCCTATATCTACATGCCCTTGTAAAAAGACCTTCTCTAGCTCTCTTGCAGGCCCCTGAGGTACTGGAAGGCTGCTGTAAGGTCTCCCTGGAGCCTTCTCTTCTCCAGGCTGAAAAACCCCAACTCTCTGAGCCTGTTTTCATAGAAGAGGTGCTCCAGCCCTCCAGGCATCTTTGTTGCCCTCTTCTGGACTTGCTTCCTCCCATCCACATCTTGTGCTGAGGGCTCCAGACCCAGATGCAGTACTCCAGGTGAGGTTTCATGAGGGCAGAGTAGCGGGGAGAATTGCTTCCCTCAAGGCGATTGTCTCAATTTCTTGACACAGGATAAAATAAGGGCTGGGAATCTAGGAAGATTCAAGAGAGACTGTATATCATTTACAAGTACAGATTCAGAGATTATGACAGATTATGATGAATGTGGGGACTTAACTGTCTTCTGTGTATTCGTTTTCCTCTGCGTGTAGAGCCCTGGGCAGTGAACAGGAAGGGTGGTCAGTACGGCACCTTGGAGCCCTTTTCTAGGACTCCTGTCTTAAATAAAATATAACAAAGAAGCCTATAAATTAACTGTATGTTTTGCAGGCACTGCTAAGCTCTTACAGGCAAACACTTGTCAATTTGCTTTGAAAGGTGAAAAATGATACTTAACAGAAGAAAGAAAATGGAAAAATCAAGGGCTGTAGCTTATTCTACCATTGATGGCGGAACCTGAGGAAAACTTAGTCATTATAAGTTTCTATCTTCTAAAATTATTTTGTTCTGAACACACACAACACTGTAGCGGGTAATAAAGTAAAGTTAATGAGCACACAGATATGGTTGTCTTAGTTTCAGGGTTCCACGGTGTTAGCAATGCACTGCAGCAAGCACCAAGCTTGTTTTATACGTGTGATTGAAAATTATTATAACCAGACTTTTCATACAGGGAAAGAAGCATATGCCATTTTATTCTGCAGGAGTTTTCATGTTGCCTTTGTGAGTGTGTAAATATTTTAGAATTTTTGTACTGTAAATTTCTCCTCAGTTTTTTTCCTCTTCACCCTACTTCATGTCTCAGTATTGCAAAACTATCAAGCATATGGTATCCTAAAGACTTTAAGACCCTCTTCACTTTAAATATTTTAATGGATACATTGATTTACACCATATGTTTGAATAGTCTGATGTGCACTTCCCGCCTGTCAATGAACAGCCAGGGACGCTAATCCATTAACCTAAAAAAGAACGAATGAAGATTGTTGGCTGATAATTATTGGAGAGATTATTTAAAAGTACCTCAAGAATGCCAAACCTCTGAAAAGTTCCTTTTGATGTCACAGCTCCTGTAATTCCAGCATCTGTGCTGCACATATATGAAATACACTGAAGGAACAAAAGCAGTCGGGCAGCTTGGATACTTAACATCTCATTAAAAAGCTGTAGCTCAATTGTGCATTCCAATATGGACTGAGCAATTTAAGTGTTCTTTCTACATAGTATTTTAATGACTGCAGCAAAAGCAAAGTTCTATATTTAGTGGAGAAGCTTGCTGTTTTTAATCAGGGGAGGTACTGTGGTGGAAATGTCCTACTGAGTTGTGGGCTACCCAGATCATAAAGCAAACTGAACACTATCGATAGTGGAGACTTTTCAAGGCCCATCTTATGCTTGATTAGTATACACACTTTAAGGAATTTTATTCTTAGAAATAAATACTTCACTTATATAGATT